GGGAATGTCATCATCACTGTCGCTGCCTCTTGCTGATTCTGTGAAAGCAGAGATTTTTTAACTCCTCCAGGGGCACCCCTGCACCAGCCTTTCCAGCTGGAGCCCTCAGCTACTTGAGATTACAATCATCATCATCATCACACTAAAGCCTAATTCAGGGCAACATAAATAAAGTAGACCAAGAAGCAGGTCTGAAGGTTACAAATCTTTTTGCCATCTCTGAGAAAAGTAGCTGGCCAAAGTCTCTCATGCCATCTACAGCAGCAAACTGTGACAGTGATTTAACAAGGACTAATATGCCTGTATGGTCAACAGACAATTAATTTTATTTATCTATACAATTTAGAGGCTACCCAACTCCACAAGACACTGGGTGGCTTACAACATTACAAAGCAGAAAATAAAAAAAAATAAAAGCAGAGATCCTTTATGCGCAGAAGAGAACTTAAATAGATAAAATTCTGCTGGGTCTCAGCTCCCACCCTAATCCAAGGCCTGGGGGAACAGCCACATTTTCAGCAATTTTTCAAGCATCATCAGGATCAACAGAACAACCTGTGTACCCTTTAGATTTGTTTAGCTAAAACTCCCATCATTCCAACAGCAGCATGGTTAGAGATCACGGGAGATGAAGGAAACCATGCTTAACAAGGTCAGCAAAGAAAATAAACAAGAAGACTAAACCATACGTATATCATGCACTAATCCGTAAATCCCCTTTTCTTTTACCTGATTTGTGCTCACGTTCCTCTTCATCCTCTGACAAATGACGCTCTTCATCCTCTGAATGCTGGGGCCTCTCATCGTCTGAATTCTGCAACTTCTCCTCTTCCGAACGCGGCAGCCTTTCATCCTCATCCTCCGAGTTCTGCATGTTTTCTTCATCCGAATTTCGTGGCCTTTCATCCTCATCTGAATTCTGAAGCTTTTCTTCATCAGAAACTGCAGGCCTCTCATCTTCATCATCAGACTGGTGCAGCCTCTCTTTGTTGTCAGAGATCTGAGGCCTCTCTTCATCATCTGAGTTCTTCTCTTCATCATCTGAATGCTGAGTCTGCTCTTCATCATCTGACTGATCACTCTTGTCCTCTCTACCCCATTTTTCATCCTCAGAGTGTGCTTTCTCAGATCCTTCAGCCTCGGAGTGATGGCTACCTTCATCTGACCTGTGGTCCTCATCATCTTCCTCATCGTGCGCAGCTTCTGAACCACTGTGCTGTTCGATATCTGACTGGTCATTGTCCTCATGTTCAGAGTGTCCTGAGCCTTCAGAATGATTGTAGGATCGTTCGGACTGGTTGTCACTGCCGCTGTGGTGAGAAGCACCATCATCCTCACTGTCTTCCCCAAACAACTCTTTATTACTGGGTTTTAAAGCATCTCGATCATCCTCTCTGCCGCTCTCGCTACCAGAAACGTTACTAACAGAGCCAGTGTTCTCCTGGTCAGAATCTGAGTCAGATCCAGAATCAGAGTCTAGCAAAAACACACAGAAAACCACAGTATTAATCAGAGAATAAGAATCAGATTTCTTACAAAGGAAACACAACACCACCACTTTGAAAGAAGGCAAACCCTACAGAAGTGGGAAAAGATTAATACATAGAGAGAAAAGTAAACATTAAATGATGTGATGATGGGTTTCAATGCAGTATAAAGAAACAGAGCCAACATCAAGCAGGAGTGGGGTTACCAGATATCTGAACAGGCAAAGGAGGACACAGACAATTGGAAAGGAGGACACATGTGGGGGAAAGGAGGACACACTAATTGTTGAACTTTCTTGGCATCTGTGACAAAAATTACACAAAAAACTGCAAAAAAAATATACTTAGGCCTACATATATATGAAATTACTTTTTCTCGCATCAGAAAGACAGATTTTCCAATTGCAATATTTTTCCAACAAATCTTTATTTTCAATAACATATGCGAGTGACAATATAAGAATCAACAACGATGCGCTTTTCAAATTTCACCCTAGAAACATGACAAGTCGTGCGATCTACAGACCAGAGTGATCATAGATTTGAAGGGGCTGGACTGAAGCCGATTGCTGGAATCAGGAAATACATTAAATAACATTAATCTAGGCTGTTGATGGATGAGGGAAAGAAAGCAGACAATTTACAAAGTCACAATTCATGAAAGTTTGAATGACAAGCAATTTCTCTTTCTCTCCATCCCCCCCAGTTTCAAGATGCAGAAATTAGCTTGCAATAATAATAATAATAAGGTATGTCCGCTGCCTTGAATTATATATAAAAAAGGCAGGATAAATTTTTTATTAATGATATTATTATATATTACTAAATAGTTGTTAAATATAAGATATAACAATTAAATTATTAAATAA